GAGTAACGAGTGCAAAAGTTTCATGGAAATCTCTCCTTGGTATTTAGCTGAACCTTCTAGCCACCAATCTGGCTTTTCTTTCATCAATACCACCGTTAGGACCGTATTTATTGATCAGTACTATACGACTGCCAATAACATTTTCTCCTCTTAGCTACTCAACAATTTCTCGGGCATTCTTCTCCAGCATGGATCTTATTTCTTGTACTATAGCAGTAAGCCATTCACCGGCACTTTCACTAGAAATCGCATCCTTTTCCATTACTTCTGATGCATAAACCGTAGAATGTTCTACTCTATTTTTCTGTTTAATATGATACTCTTTCCTCGATCTTCCTACTTAAACCTGTTCTTATTATCTTAGGACGGCCACGTCCCCTTTCGGTAATAACATTGTTAAGGTATTGTACAGGTCTGGTTTATGTCAGGGATGGAAATGTTGGAGCACTGGAAACGTTAAGCCGGAGCCTGACCAATAGTCCCTCACGGAAATCAATGTTGCTCTCTTCGTTTCGTTAGGAATGTTCCTGCCATAAGCCAGGCAAATTTTCAGGCAACGCACATGGGCCCAAGGTAGCAGAACCTCTCGCCGTTTCCAAATCCCATAGTTTTTCTGTAAAGGACTCACTGGTATTTTATATCCACTCTTCCCATCATCGGAGAAGGGGAAGAAATTAATTTTCCTTAGGGGTGAAAGAACGCCAAAGGGGGTATAGTCTTTCGAGCACAGTCTCTTGAGAACAGTCACAGAACTAGTCTACAAGAACATAGTTTAATAGTTAGAAGTGTCTGGACCTCGGTAGTAGTTTTTAGTTAATTCGCATCATTGTATATTCTCTCCAATGGTAGAGGGAGATCCTTCGAACCTCTAGAAATCTCAGTCGGCACACATAGTGGAATCTTCAATTGAGTTTGATGTATTTAAATCAGGAATCCACGAGGAACATTAACAAGCATCTTCATCGGTTTTGGAGGTTTCACTTTTCTCTTCGTAGCTGAGTTTTGGTTATCATCATTCTCAGAATCTATATTATTCTTATTAATCTTTATATTATGGTTATTCGTTGACCTTCTATACAGATCAATTACAACCCCACCTTTATCTGTTTCTTATTCACCTTCTGTTTCTTCATGATCAATGGCGAGTTCGTATTTTTGTAGATCTTTGTTATAATATATTTCGTTCAGAAATTTAACATCTCTACTTATGATAATCCTATTAGTTTCTGTATCTAATAACCGATATCGTTCAGAATGTGTATCATGACCTATAGGTTTGAACCTTTTTGTGCATCTTAAATTCAAAATAAATATACATTTTTCAAACATGGCTCTACCTTACACCAACGTTTTATAGGTGTGATTTCTGTAGCCTTCGCGCATAACCTATTTTTCAAATAATTGGCATAATGAACAGCTTCTCTCCAGTATTTGTACAGCAACTTTGCATCAATTAATAAACATCTTGACATTTCCAATAATGATCGGTTCTTTCTCTCCGCAGTACCGTGTTGGTCTGGAGTATAACCCGCTGTATACTACGGCTGTATTCCTTCCTTACGAAACAATTTGTTGAGTCCATTGTTCAAGCATTCTTTTCCTCTGTCCGATCTAAGTGCTTTTAGTACTCTATTAAACTTAGTCTTCATGAAGTGTACAAATTCTTTAATTTTTCTAGGTACTTCAGGTTCATTATTTAAGAAATATGCAAATGTAAATCTACTATAATCATCTATTAGTGTCAATATATATCTCTTCCCACTTGGTGTAATTGTCTGCATAGGATCACATATATCTGAATGGGTTAATACTAATGTTGATTTGGATTGATCACTACACTCTTGAGGAAACAGTTTCCTTGTCATCTTCCCCTTTACACATGTCTCACCTGTCTTATTCCACAATCTTTTATTTTAATTCCGTTTATATGTCTTTTTGAGATCATATCCTTAATTGATTCCAGGTTCCTGTGACTCAATTTCCTATGCCATGTAGGTTGACAATCATCTGAATGCTGCTGCACAATAACTAGTGTCCTATCAGTGTCCCTTAATGTAAACGTGTTATTATTGACATAGGTTTTAGCTACAACCTTATTATCTTGTAAAAAAGAACATCCCTTTTTATCAAAGCTGATTACAAAATCTTTATTAGTTAATTTCTTTACTGATATTAAATTTTTTTTCGAGGTAGGGTTATGCATGACATTCTCTATTAACTGTTTACGTTGATCTGTATATCATTATTACACATAATATTTACTTCCCCTATTTCTTGTTCTTCTATTTGAGTACTATCTGCAAATTTTACACGTTCATCTTCACAGATCCTAATTTTTCTGAAAAATTTGATATGTACTAAGTATCTTTACTTAATCCCCCAACTTATATATCAAAACAATACTGGTCTGCCTTATACTTATGTGTATAGCCATTGTTTTTGTTATTGATACCTTGGCTAGCTTTTTGACTTTTCCTCTTTTCTAATCATTTCTTATATTTAAAGCAAGGATTTTTCGTATGTCCTAATTTATTACAAAAATAACATGACCTTGTAATTGAATTTGTTCCTTTAAAATCCTTTGAATTATTTGACTGCTTATGGGATAATTTTAGTGCTTGTTCAGTATCTTCATAAATGCCACTTCTAGAATTTGTAGGCCTATATGCCTCATCTGAAGCTCTAATGTTAATTCATCCTGCATTCTGGTGTCTAGTACTGTGATGAGAGTATTGAAACAGTCTGGCAAACTACTTCATAATAAAGAGATAACTAAGGTTTCCTTCAGAACTTTCCCGAGAGCTGATAATTTGTCTGTATGGAACTAGAGCGTTTTCGTACCCTATTTAACTGTTTCTCTACTTAGGGAGCTATTGTAAAAATTAAAAATTATTCCTTTGTTGGCTGTTCGCAGTTTAAAAGCCATAGTCCACCGATCGGACAATCCCGCATGTAACAATGGCAACAACGGGGTACTCCCAGCGATGTAGGATCATACAGGATGTCCAATAATTATAGCTCGTAAATAAAAGGCCGTATATAACTCACTAAACTGAGTAAAAAGACACCAGTAAACTTGGGTCGAACTCTGAACGACATCCGAGATGAAAATAAGTTTCTTTAAAAAAAAATTTACTGCGACCGAATTCAGAACATTGGATTATCTCGAAAAATATCAATGATACGAACAAATATATTAGGTAGAAGTTAAAGGGTACGAATTGTTACATATCATGGCAGGAGGTATTTGACCCTGAAGTAATCTTGGGACGTCCTACGAAGGTCACGTTACAATTCCTTAGTAGAACTTTGTAGTATCTCTATTCCATATTTTGTAGTTGATATTTAGACGATTTCAAAATACTAGAAATTAAATTTTTCGCGTAAGCCGTTTTCATATCAGCATCCAAAGTTTCCGATTCGTTGCGAGTGATGGTACCTGATGCACAATACGGTTTTCCTTTTATGGGTACAAGGACAATGAGATGTTCGGTTAAGCAACGATGACACCTCAGTTTCAACAGGTTCTCTGTAGTGACGCAACCTTGCGGGATGGGAGGAAAGGACAGAGTGAGTGAAATATGTACAGTGCATTACTGATGTGAATCCAGCCGGCCTGTGGCTCGGAAGTGAAGAGGGGCAAGGGGACTCGGCCGCACGCTCCACCTCAGCTCGCGGCTTGGCCAGTAACAAAGACGTGCCGAAACTAATTCTGCCATCACTATCGGTCCGAGCGTCGAGAATTGCACGTTTCCACTTGCTTCTCTTCACTTTCAAGCCACAAGCCGGCTGGGTTAACGTCAGTAACGTACTGTATATACCTGTAGATTCTCATACGGACGCATGGGAGAGTAAAGATAACGAGTGCAGTGACTGTGTTCTCAGCTGTGAATCCACGACTTGATCGATGAACAATGTCTTTGAGATTTTCCATCGTGTAACAAACAATGATCCAAGTTATTGCGTTTCTTTACTTTCTCATGACAGTCGCAGTGTTCGTCGACTACCATCACTATCGACGAATCGACAGTTTTGGATGCTTATATCTTGATAACGGTTATGCGAAAAATTTAATTTGTAATTGTTTAAAAACATCTGAATGTTGACTTCAAAAATATAGGATAGAAATTATATGTAAGAATTGTAACGGGTCCTTTTTAGAACAGTGTAGGACTTTCAATCAAGGTATGTAGTATTTTACACCATGTAATTTTTGTTTAACATATCTGCTTTTATCAGTCATATTTTTCGAGATAATTGGGTCTTCTAAATTTGATTGCAATACATTTTTGCCAAAACCAAGACTATTTTAGTCTCGAACACCGTTAAGATTTCGACCCTTGTTGACTACCTGATCAGGCCTGATTTTTCATTCGAGTACGGTAGAAATCTGAAAAAATTCTGAAATACTTGTTATAGTTATTAATTTAATACGCAAATGTCAGTTTAGCCAAGTATTATATAAATTTTGCAATAAAAATTCAAAATCAAGGTGTCATGAAAAAACGTAATCTTTTTCATAGATGCATAACTTTGTAATAACTATTTAAAAAAGTTATTGTAGAATGTTAATTATGAGAGTATAACAGCATCCTTCGAAAAAATATGAAAAGATTTGCAAGTCATTGGAAAAGTATAATTATTTTGAATCTTTAATGTGCGAGATTGTTAAGTGGATCGCTCGGAAATTCAATTGTTAAGCTCTTAGCGTTTCTTAATGCTTACAGGAAAAAATAAGACCGTGGAAAGGATGTGCAATGGTAATCAATAACCATCTACGAGTGTCCGTTTTCAGAGTATTTATTTCCAAAGCTTTATCTATAATACTGTTGTGCGAAGGTAATAGCGAACCGTACACCAACGAGAGTAGTGACGGTAAAACGCGTGTCAGAGCCCTGTCGGTACGTTGTCTGGACTCCTCGCGGCTGCCACGGTCTCTACCTAATAAAGAACTTTTCCTTCCTAAGGAGTAGCCTAATTGGCTTTCTGCCAACTAGTGGAAGTCCCGAAAAGAGGCTTCCACCAATCAGGTAATTTTACAGCTACCCGCCTACTTTTTGCGCCCTCAGCGTGTTTGTTCCGGGGGTAGTTGTTGAAAAACGCTTTACTTAATTTACTGGTGATGATGCACCGAAGTGTCTTCCGGGACTAGCCTAAGTGCGGTGCGCAGCCTTAGGTCCGCGTAACTGGGCTTCAACTTTTGCCGGTTGATGAAATCCAGGCGCACGCCTTACTTGAGCATCTCGAGCTGCAACCCTTTTGATGACCTAAAATTTATGGCGTCCGATTGCGCTATTGACACTGTCGTCGAAAAGCTACGTGGACCTATCTGTCAGTCAAATATCTAAAAACGTTGAGGACACCTTCTCAGAAACAGCGTCTTATATTGCGCATACCATAAATTTCGCTAAACACTTGTGTGTTAAAAGTTTTTCTACCGGCGCACAGCTAGTCGCTACAAGATGACTGTAAATGTATAAATTATGACAATTTTAACTTTCCATAAGAAATTTATATTCCTTTCAATTTTTTATAATTTTTTATTTTTTATAACTAAGATTTTAAATCCAAAAGGGAGAGTATAATTTGTTGAATTCTTTTTTATAAGTCTTGTTTACGACAAAATGAGTAGTACGAATATAATTTGATAATTTGAATTTTCCCCATAATTACCATTTCAATGAAGATAAATAGTTGAAATTTACTGAGAAATGTTTCTTTTTGAATAAGCTATCACACGGTTGGTCGTTAATTTCATTTTGTTTAAGAATATATAGTAAGTTTCTGTTCTACTATTTTACCAAGAGGCATGTTATAATTGTTTTCTAGGATGATCGGTGCTATGCCAGCGGTGGCAGTTCGCCACGAACGTAAGCGACAGGAAAAGAGATTAAAACGCCCTAGTCAACTTTACCTAGGAGCTCAATGGATGCCACCGCCTCAAGGTTCGCCGCCAACTCCTAGTCCTCACGGTCACAACAGTCACTTGGAACCACTACCAGAGTTGTATCTCTGTGGCAAGGTAACCTTTTTTAATATATAAACAGTAATGAAAATTATTGCATCAGTGTAGTAATTTGTTAATTTCGTGAAAATTAATAAGTATATACTGTGAAAACGTACTAAGTTAACCACCATTGTTTGACTAATTTAACAATACAATAAAATATGTAGGATAAACCTGATAAATGTATCCTAATCAATTTTCTGTTTTTAATCAAAAATATTTATTATGTAGTATTCAATTTATAAACGTCGTTTTAACCTCTAGACTTTCGGATTTTTCCATTGAAATTAATTTTTTAATTAATTGTTCTGCGTGTTTTTTGTACACTTTGATTAGTTTGTTACGTGAGAAGAATATCTTCTATATGATTCTTCAATTTCTGGCAGGAAACGACCTACAATTAACCTCCCCATACCTTTCATGTAAACAATAGGAGTTGCACTTTGGACTTTACCAGAAAAAGAGCGGCTGAAATCATGACTTCCATGCAACCATACCAAATACATCAGTACGCCAAATAGACATCCTCACACCTTTTTTGGAGTATAAAAACCCACTAATTTTTACTTTCATTGGTCAAAAGAGGAAAGACTTTCGTCAAGTTACACGACCCACGTTGCATATTAGGGTATTCGCCTAATCTGAACGGCCAAAGTCCATTTTAAAAATGGTTGCTGCTTGAGATGGCTGAATATGTAAGGAACAATGTCTTACAAATTTTTTCTTCCTTGGAACACTCGAAAAGTGCTGAGCTATCCCAACATTTTTCGACTACACATTTTACTCTTGAAATTTCTCGCAACATTTTCCATATGTTTTGCAAAGGTGTACGAATTTTTCTTCACTATCAAAGTTTTCAAATAAGTATATACTTTGTCTTTAAGAGTTTATTACCTTTTTACCATGAATCTGTCTGTAAATGTCCAACATTTAACATTTTAACATAACTAATGCATCATCGATATTTCATACAGTTGTACAAATTCACGAATGATGTTATAGATCAAGATGCGTCCCGGTATTCTTCAAAGCACATTTGTATTCAGTAAGGTCTTGAGA